CTTATTGCAATGACAGAGTCGCAGAAAGACATGTAAAGGTGGCTGTAAATACAGGTAAATAGCTCGCTCGCGGAACGACATCTCCACTGTAGACGTGTTGAGTGTAACAAGCTCTTGACTTGCACGCCACCGCAAGGGTCGTACGCGTGCACTGACTTGGCCAAAGTGTACTTTACTTTCTGCAGATGAGCACAAACATCGCGCTCGTAACTTTAGGTGCGGAATCAAAAAGTTTACTGTAATAAGACAAACTTTTCAAGCGCAAATTCTTAAGCACGTTTTGTATGTTTATAGTCTAAGCGTTTACATACCTATACACAATTTTAAGTACCGAAAAGTTGAAGGATACTAAATAAAAATAAAGTTTATTTATATTCGAATCACTCGATTACGTTTTAATTGTCAATCGAAAGTTACTAATTGGGACTTAGTTCTAATCAATAACCTGTAGGTAAAGTTCAGAATTTTAATTGCATAATGCTATTGTATAATTTGAATGCAAGGATGTAAGGAAATCCTGAAGAAAATATGTAATTACAAACATTATTATTTTGGCATATCATATAACGAATTATATTCCTACCTACTGAGAGTGTAACACCCGTTAGCGCATGCTTCACCAGTCAACCATTTCTTATTACGCAGGTGATTATCTCTATGACATGACAAGGAATTAAACGATGCAAATTTATCTATTCCCTTTTTGTATTTATAATTAAACATTGATTCACATTTGTTAGCAGCCGCCTATTTACTTGTAACAATGTGAACCTTATAGTAATTTTAGGTGATTGATTTTATAATTTATGTAACTACTAGCATTGCCCGCGGCTCCGCCCGCGTTCAGATGACCAAAAATCAAATTCATAGGTTTTATATATTAGTATACTCTTACAATGCAGTTTTTGTATTTTTGTATTTTTTCTCAGAAATGAGATATTTTCCCGCGGTAAAAAGTATCCTATATGTTGACTCGGATAACCAGCTATCATCATACCAAATTTCATCAAAATCTGTCCAGTGGTTTTCTCGTGATGCGGTAACAGACAGACAGACAGACAGACAAAAATTCTAAAAACTATAGATTCGGACTCTGTATCGATAATAATGTCTATTTCAATTAGATTTCCCAAAAAATATTTAATGTACAGATTCGACTTAGTTAGAATTTTATTATATGTATAGATAAATAGTAAATACTAAATACACATCATAATTAAAATACTGGTTCATAATAAAATCTAACGGCATACCGCATACATATAGAGTTTAAAATTTGGCTGCCAAAGTTCTCATGAAGTAATATTAATACTGGCACTTAAAATAAAACTTTCAATGGTTACTTAACTTGTTTGTATTACCACAACGTATACCTAAAACATTTCAACCCATTCGTAAATATAACTTACGTACATACTTTATACATAAGCATGTACATACGTGTGCATTGTTTCTTTATCAGAGCTGTTGACTAATAATAGTTTGAGTGCTTTAATTAAAGTCCTTTTAGCCGTCACTTTATATCTCAGGAATGTTTGAAGATATAGCGTGTTTAACTTTTGACTGAAAAGCAAAATCTTTCTCTATTTGTATTTCAATGCTCACCGCCTTGCTCTTCAAGTAAAATATTGCGAATGTATTGAGAATTGAAGATGCGATGGTGACCGTTGAGTCATCACAATGAACTGCGTTCATTGACCCACCCTCACGACTTGGAGCCGTTATCGTTAAATTGCTGTTACCGTATTTTTGCACCGAGCTCCAAATTAGGTATTACATACATACATTGAAGTACTCGCAGTGCTTGCTTTACTATTAATATACAAATTAAACTAAAGTCTGTGACTCATTAAACTGCACAGAATAATATTACCTACATTTGTTTTTAACAGCAACAAATAACTTTTGATTCATTCATCTCATTCCCCGTTGACTCACTGTTACCTTGTAAGTGACGTTGGTTAAATATGCAATATAATATATTATGGTGATAATTGTACATTTTACTAAAAAGGTACCCACGGATGAGTCACATGATGAAAATAATTCTTTAGATTATTTAAATAACCTTAAAATCAATATTTGACAATAAATTCCTTCATTAATATAACTGATCTAAAACATAATGAACTTATTATTTATAGTGGTATAAAGTTTGAATACTAAGTACTATATTTAGACATTACTGTACCGTCTGTTGAACGTTAACTTTCTGAGATAGGAAGTTAATTAGTGCGATGTTGCGATGTTTATTAGAGGAATGTATTTCGATGAAGTTAGGCGACAGTAATTAAGGCTGACTTTGAAAGGATTTGAATACTATCAAAGGGCCAGAAGTAGTGTCGACAGCCAATGAGTGTATGCAGGTAACACTAACAGATGCCAAATTGCGTACCTAAATAAAGGAAAATATTAAATTGTAGATATTTCTCGCTACGAATCATCTCTAAGAGAATGAAAGAAAGGATTAATTAATTCGAGTCTAAGAGAAGGTTCATTTTATTTATTTTTGAAATCCCGCAGTAACTTTTATAATATTTACGTAGTAAAATAAATATTTTGAAATCGGTTCATTTCCATTTCGTCCGATGATTCCAAGACCCTTGTATCAATAAATACGTAATGTATCCTCCAGTATCGATTACAGGCCAAGGAGGGGTGTTTTTATTACTTGGCAGGTATGACATCAGCAAAAGTTAAAGTTCGCTCTTGACATAAATTCCTGCAGAGCGTAGGGAACAACTTTGCCATAAATTACCATAATATACCTACTACGGGTCCAGGGGGCATAGAAGACTTTTAGTGATTGGAAATAATCATACGTTACTCGTATGTGTACAGTGCCATATTTCTCGTAAAAAAAAAACGTGTCTCAATCATTTTTTTAAATGCATTCACAAATATTGGCTGTATAGTAATGAATATTTACGCACGTATGAAGGCAATGGAAGGTTGTTTACGCTAATTGTTTAGATGAAAGTAGACACTCCTTACATTAGGGTGTCAATAAAAAAATTGTAATTGAATTTGAGAAGGGAATATACTAATGAGAAAGTAAACGACCCTCTCGACTGGAAGGTTAGTGCTAGGGCACTGAGATTCTGAATAAATAAAATGCAATTAAAACTAGGGAGTTGCCATTCCACCACGCCCTTGATTCGAGAGTACTCTATAAAATAATGAAATATCTTGCAATTGTTAGAGTATTTGGGGGATATACGTTTATCCTACGATAAAAATCAATACGAGCAGATAGAATGATATGTTCAAATTGTGAAAATTTACGTGAAATAAGCATAATTTTGAAACACTTATTTCTTCTTCTAGTAACGTAAAGTATTAGTATGTTGAAGAATGAAAACAATGAACATATGAAGTTAACAATTGACTGTATTTCATTTTCTGCTTAACTAATTTGTGGTCCTTGAACAAAAATGAGCGTGCGGGGAGTTTCCATGGCAACCAGAGAAACTACGTCGTTTACATCCCCAAAGTTTTCTAACCGTATTGACGTGTTTGTTTAACACATGGTACTGAGACATTTTGTATACAGTCAATTGCCAGTGAAATTATAATAAAAATAACTATTAAGTATATACAATTTACAATATTGTTTTTCACAAAAAAAATGATGAGACGTTAATTAAATAAATATTCGTATTGGTATAATAACATAAGTATTTAATATTTATTTAACTATATTTCAGATTAAGAACTCTGATTTATGTAATATATTTACACAAGCTTTTCAAATCAGTGACCCGAAATAATAACTCTATTGGACAAAGGACTGCAAGATTATATCGGGCAATTTAGGATTTGGAGGGTGAATGTGTGTGACCTTATCTTACTTCGCATGACATACGTTATGGGTTGGATGAAATTGTTATCCAAACACAAATTTTCTTTCCTGAATAAAATTACATACAACCAAACGAATATGCCTAGGTTTCCGCATAAAACAATGAAATCGTTCAGCTATTCGCCTGAAATACATTATACCCCTTCAGTTATTTCAACCCTGTCAATGTGCGGTATTGTGATCGGGTTCCCCTATTGGAAATCCCTATATCCATGTGAGCTTTCATAGTTAATTGAACAATTTTGCAGGACAGCAATGTAAACCCCAAACTGAATGGATAATACTGAAATATCCAATATTATAAAAAATAACCTAAATGCATCATAAAATGCACTGAGCATTAACTAAACTTAATGCTAAGATAGGTACCTTTCATTTGCATCAAAATCGTTAACGCTTTTACATTAAAATCTTTATTATCTATCGTCCGATATTTGACTTTATAGTGTTAAAGAAAAAAACTAAAATTAACATCTTAATTGAGCTTTCGTCAATTAAAGAGCCGGTGGGTATTACAAATATCAAACCCGAGACGTTGTATACAAAGACGATGATATCTGGTTTCTAAGTGTTCATTGTAACATGTCACAATGGGTCCGTTGCCGTGGCGAAGGCCAACCCACCGCTGCATAACGACTGCATTATCACATTCACTGTAATGTAGCGCATTCATATAAAATTACCAATTTTTGAGACTTGATTCAGTTTTTGTATTAGTACTTTAACAAGTCATGGAAAAAACTAACAATGGTCGAAAAACCAGTAGCGGTTTCAGTTCATCTACTTAACTAATTGTGCGGTAACCGAAGTACCGACGACAGTTTTCATTCCATTACATTTGGTTGACCGCAAACGCTTTAATAGAATATATGATCATAGATGTTCATTTTTGTAATTGGAGAATGACAGATTAAAGTTCTTAAAAAAAAAGTAATTTTCTATAGACAAAGAAAAGATTAAAATAGACCAAGACGGTTAAAAAGTCATTTAAACACTAATTGTACTAAGATCTAAAACGAGTGCATCTGCTTGTAGGTCCCTTAATTGCTCTCATTAGACTACAATACGACGTTACAATAATAAAAATAACTTTTATAGATTATGGAACATGAATTAATTATTTTGTATTTTTTTACAGATCTCTATACTTAATCAACAACAAAACTGGAATTCTTATAGCGGACCAGCGTAAAGGTAAAAGAATCAGTAATACACACAAACCTACATATCAATGAATCATTATAAGTAATAGTTTTGATTTTATTAGGTTTTGTATTATTAATTCATTAACTAATTATTAATATTTATAAATATAAACGTATGACGTAAATAAAAACATATTTTTTTTAAATCTACGTGTTGAAGTGAGGACCCAAAAACAACAAATAGAAAATTCAATGGGATTCTCAATTGATGTCGTCACTGTTCTAAAAATAAATTGTTTCACAACTGGTTCGAGTCTGAGAGCGTGTGCTCACTCACTGTTATCCTGCCAAAAGATTAGAAAAATCCTTTTTTTAAATGTACATATAAGTAGGTACTTGATGAAAATATTAACATTACATATTGTGTATCTTTAAGGATGAAAATATTTTTTAATAAAAAAATACTTGAAATCAGGAATGTCCACTTACGAATTACGATATAGTGTGTGTAGTAATGACAAGACATTACATCAAACTTATTAAATAGTTGATTTTGATTCTATACTTTTCTATACTATTATCATAAAGAGGTAGAGTTTGTTTGTTTGATTGAACGCACTAATCTCAGGAACCACTAATTCTATTTAAAACATTTTTTTTTGCATTAGATAGCCCGTTTATTGAGAAAAGCTATAGGCTATATATCATCACGCTACTACCCAAGGGAGCGGAGCAGTAATCATAAATGTCAACAAATCGGGCAGACTTCCATTATTACTTACTACTAATAGCATAAATCCAAAGAGTTTTTTTTTTGTAGTTTTAGCGCGAGCGAAGCCGCGGGTTTGCTAGTAATTTTATAAAGTGTGACAAACGTTTATAGTCAGGACTAATTAATCGCGCCTCAAGGTGATAGTGTTAAAAATGTTTACTAAATATTGTTATATAACTGGGCCAGCGTGTCGGCTGTCGCCAGTGTGACATATCATAAGTGCGGCTATTATCGACAATCAGACGACCTTGCAGCTTGTTGTCGCAAATCGTGGGGAGCCAGATTGTCATCCTCCATTCCGGCATCCGCCTTACGTGCATTTTTATTACGTAATTCTTACGTGGCCCCTTTTAGACTGTCTTACGTGCAATTACAATTTGGCATAAAAAATATACAAAACATGTCGGCTGCACAGTTGTTCACTTGACCGGTTTTACATAGCTGTAGCAATTATAAGTAATTTCTGATGAACTAATGAAACTGCAAAATAAGTATATCTAAATCTAATGTAACTTGACCGTATAAGTCTAGTGGTACGCTATTTATTCTCACCGATTGTAATTAGTCGCAAGCTGATTTATCGCTCAACTTTGCTTTCAAATCGTCCGTCGCCATTTATCTATATTGAATTGCGGTCGTCGACACACTCACGTAATTTAAAGAATGATACTAAGTAATGTATCTTGATTTGAAAAATCTGCTGAGTATATTTTCACGCCGTTTTAATACATAAATGTTCTCGGTTCAATATATTATGTAGATTGCCATGCCATTAATGTGTGCTTTCCTTCGACACCTTCACGCATTGCAAACTCTTTTGTTGGAAATGAGAACAACAATAGATACAAGTTTAGTGATAATAAATAGTTGTTTTAAACAAAATAAATAAACTGAATCCAGTTTTATATTAACCGTTTAGGCATATCCAATAATTGGATTGCCCATTAACTTTAACTCTCTTCAAAATATGTAAATTGGATGAGGTCTGGCACCAGGTTTGTATCTATAAGTTCATTATTTAATCTAGACCTTAATATAAACATACAATATTTATATTTATAAGTTCCATATTGTAAACGAAGCCTCATAAGAGTGTCAGACCTGGCTTTCATTTAGCTACTATTTATTAGTGTTGTCAAGACCGTCTAGAGTGCGAGACAAACCCGCATCCTATTGTTTTAGGAGCAGTGAAATGATATTGTAAAATGAATGAGTCAGTTGCGTTAACTCTAAGTATAATATTTGATATGTTTAAGTAATAAGTATACAGATGTAGTAATTAAGCTTGAATATTTTTTTAATATTTTACTAGGTTATGTACATAAACAATAAAGCAGTATTACTAGCAAATAATTACAGTATTATTTTATAAAACATATTTGATACGTACATTTGGAATGAAGTAAAGAAACAAAGCAGTTTCCAATAGCAGCAACAGAAAATTATCATTAATGGTAAAGAATTTGTGTAACTACATACATATAAAAAATCAATTATACGTTATATCCAATACATTAACAAATACCGACAACACCGATACCATCAGTACATTGCGAAACAATTTTACTAGAGCATAACACCCATCATTCTGCTGCATATGAAATGCCTAACACTATAGTGTTATTCCCACGCTATCAGCTGGTTCACGCGTCAGTGCTCACGCGCAGCAGCCCGCAACACCGACACGTCACCAGCTCGGGGCAAGCCGGCGCCCGATAACTGCAGAACCGTACCTACTGTGGTTGCAATTTTAGTGCGTAATATACTCGTACATATTGTGTTATTTACTCATAAGTCTTACCATTGAGTAGGTATGTATTTATATCTGTTACACATATGTATTAAAAACAGAATTTAACCTCCTTAGCTACTCATTCTATATTTATATTATTTTTATTATTTCTAAAACTTTTTTTACTTTAATCTATCTGATATTATAGTTAATCTTCTTATCTTAGTGCCTTTATCAAATGGTTCCTATGAGTTCTCTGAGTGAGTGGTTACCGAAAATCGCAACGCAAGATAGGGTATAGTAAGAGAAAAGCAACGACGGGTCGCTAGTATTCCATTATTTTATACATAATTAAAGTGGAATCTATATTTGTATCGGCACAATATTAAAAATTAAAAATAGAGAGATATAGAAATAATATTGAAAATAACGAAAACAAGACGAATAAAAAGTAATTATTTATCCGATAATGACACACTGTGATTTTGAGTATATAACATATATAACATATAGTAGATATATTCAGAACAAAAATAAAAATTCCACTAACGATGGGTACATATCTTAAATCGTTTAAACGCCATTAAATGAAGGCGCCCTTGACATTTTTACTAATTTTAATTTAATGGAAATTTAATTTATAGTTTTTTGGTCATTTACCAAAAAACATGAAAATAAAAATAAAAACATGTGTCGCAAGAATTAAAATAACTTAATCAATCATGCTATCTACGTACGTACGTATAGACAATTCCGTCAACCAATTAGCGAACATCGCGAGAGCAATGTTTTTACAATACATATATCCCATATAAAGATACAAAAAGATAATATTACCGTAAATATACTAATATATCCGATTGTTCATCGGCAGACACAAGCAATAATAAAGAGAACAATATAGGGAATGATTTATTGACAGTTAGCCGGCGGGTGGCGGCGCGGCGCTTGGAGAGCAATTTACACTACCGCAAAAAGTCAGTAACGGATTCGCAGTGTACTATGTATCATCAGTTACCACACTGTTCGCTCGCATCCCAAGTTTTACATAGAACATATGAATATTAAACAATCTTTACACAAACACTTTTAAGTTAAGGTACTAAATTTAAATTAAATATTTGAATAGAATTCCTCGTTTTGTGGCTTTCGGTTGGGCTAAGTTAAATGTCATAAAATGTTTATTTAGAAACCGCCAAATTATATTGTAATTTGTATGAGTTAGACATTTAAATCTAATTAAAAATATTCGTGCAAGAGGCATTTAGTTATAATATAAGTAGGTATGTACAATTGCGCAAGTGTGAAATGTGTTTGTTGTTTATCCTTTTTTTTCATATGGTTTTACGGTGTATTTCTTTTCGCTAGATATACCTGTATATTTTTTTACGCTAGATTTTATTTCGGAACAAAAATTTGCGATTTCATTTTTGAAAATGAAATTATTTCCGATTGATTAAATTGTTAAAAAGAAGTTTGTTAGGGACGATATTTCTTTCACTAGTTATTTTATAATACTTATTTTAAACAGTTTCTATACTTTGAAATTATCTTGACGTTGCTACGATAAGGCTAATAAAGCAATTAGGCGAGAAAGTATGTCAGAGTGAAGTTCGAACTCATTTCATTACAAATAGCTATTGAATGGAGAATGTGCCTAATAACGAAACACTGTATAAGTATCTATAGTATATATTATAATTCTTAGAGCTCCGAGTATACGAATTACGCGTTATAAGTTATAATAATCAATAAAAAGCATTTTATCTGAAACAACGCATTATAACTGAATGAAAAAAGTTGGTACCTAATTATTCATCAGAACAGTGAGCAGTATGTTGTGTTGGAATTATTAATTCCGCTTTTTTCATTTTACATTTACATAAATGTTACTTTGCATAACATATATTTTATATGTATGTAGTTAAAGATATATATGTGTAGTGTATCAACTATCTGGTATCCATAACACAAGCCACGTAGCTTACCATGGAACTAAACGGTGCTGTGTGTTAATCCCTCCACGACCGCGGACACGCCGACGTTACATTTAACAATAGATTTATTAGAAATTTAATTTTTTTTTTTAAATTTACTTGGAGGAGTTAATGCTCCAACATATTCATTTATAACAAAAACATCACGAGGTATTTAACACTTTTATGTTGAAAGAATTGTTGTCACCTTTGAATGTTACATAAAATATTTTATCCATACCTACACCAAATATTGACTTATGATGCAGACGATAATTGCCATCGTCGTGATACGTTGTTACGTAATCGAGACGCGAATATTTTTTCTCAATGTGTGGATGAATTTAATACTAGAATCATTATTATATCGATTTAACTGAAGTAGTAGCATTAATAAGCTCTTAACCCTACTAATATTATAAATGCGACAGTTTGTAAGAATGTATGTATGGATGCATGTTTGTTACTCTTTCACGCCAGAACGGCTGAACGGATCTGGATCATAGGCTACTTTTTATCCCGGAATATATACGGTTCCCGAGGGAAAGATTTATTTTTGTTTTTCTAAAGGCGAACGCGAGCGAAGCGAGGGTGATCCGCTAGTTTTAAATATTCTTAATTTTAAATTATATATTTTTTATAAGCAATTAAGGTTACCGCACAGGATTGCTAGAAAGTATTAAAGATTCACTTTAATATTAAAGTTCAATGTTTTCATTGTCATTGACTTTAAGTAATTAGTCTAATGCCAGGTCACCTTCAATTCCTTTAGTACTTTGGATCGTTCCTAGTTAATGGAATAAAGGAGTAAAAGCTTAGCTCTTTGCAAAAGGAACAAAGATAAGTTGCTTTCTAGGTATTCCATCGCCATAAAGAGGCCGACTTGTACGGCTTTCAATTATCGTTTCCATTTCGTTATAAATGAAATGTGAAAATGGTATATTCATACGATGATAGTTTTATTCAGATTTTGCCATTATTTAATAAATATTTATTTATTTATTTTTTATATAGACATTTCCTTTACTTGCTGATGAAATAAATAGGTAATTATAACAAATTTTGTAAACAATATTTTTTTGCTAAAAATGCATCTTTCTCTTTTGAATGAAATAATTGCAATAACCACCTGACTACAAAAACACACATTATATCTGCTTTTATTACCACGTTAGCTTAATGAAGTTGCTTGAGGCACTAGTAACGTCTACTAACAACTACTAGTAAGTAGGTACGTATATATGTACGTACTTATGATATTTTTACTTATTCCTTTAGATTGCAAGAAGCAAAAAATTTTCTAATGGCAATATATCAACATAGCGTCCAAATATATATTAATTCATGTTTTTTAATACATACATCGGTATTAGTCGTTATAAAAAATCCTTGCATCCGTGTTGGTATTCTTGTAAATAATATACTAAAAAAAGAGATATCTATTTATATTGACTCTCTTTGAAATGTAATATGAGATTAACTGAGACATAAATCTATTTATTACATTTAGTAACTTAGTCTTTCCTGGTCTTCTTTGAACGTATCTATACTATTTTGCTTGTGAATATGTCGAGATAGCTGTAGATGAAGCAATTGTTCGTAAGTGAGAAGGACTCAAACGAGAGATTTCCTTGTTTTATTGAAAGTGGTGTTTCCCCTCGTCGTGTTGGGTGTTATATAAGGAGACGGAGCGCGACCATTGTTTCAGAAAATTGTACTTTCAGTCCAAAGTTTAAACAGAAAACATGTAAAATATACAATTTAAACAAAACAAAACAAATTTTGTTTAGAAAAAAAATTATGCCAATTTTATTCTTAGTAAATATTTTAAGTATTATGTAATAAAATCAAGAGGGTAGACTTTGTACATTTAATATTTTGATATGTTATGGAAGCGTAAATTGTTATCTTTTAAATAAATACATTGGGAAACTATATTATATATGTTAATAAAAAGATAAACATACTAACTTTTACTACGTCACCTAATGACATCATTTACCTACTACTTTTACGAGGTAGAGGTTCACAATGTTGCTTTACAAAAGTATACCTACACTTGTTCATATAAAACAAACCACCTACACTATACAAAAATGGTTTTAATAAAAATACCGGTAATATTATCGTATAAAACCTAATATTAGCAAAGACAACAAACTGAGTAACAATAGACGTCTATCATACGTTCATCTATCGCCTCCAATACTTTTAATTAATTTCTACGTAGTACTATAGAACAACAAGTCCTCCTACGCTTTGAATACCACGACGTTTATTTCAATGCCAAGATAACCTTTGCCTTCAAAGTCATTTTAGTAGTAATCTTTTGTGGCCTAAAAAGGATGCTTGTAGAGTGGTTTATATGACAGTAGTGGAATTGATAATATGATAAAATGTAATGACCATGTAATATTATAAAAGTTTAGCAAATATATTCTCATTAATCATTATACAATCGGGTTTACAGAACAAGTGATCTTAAGAAATCGATTACACCATTATTTCTCTTAACAAAATATATAAACAAACGTACCAGTTCTACCTATAATTAATAATTTATTATATTGCCCAAGAATTAACTGGAATGCAAATTCAAAGGCGACAATGTTTTATATTTCGTCATATCTGTAAATAGTTGGGAGTTATCGCATAGGTATGGCACATTGGCATGGCAATTCCAGCAGTTTATGGCGTTTGTATGGCTATCTAAAAGGCAATATATCACTTCTTAATCAAATAACAAACGGGGCGTTAGGATTTGTGTCAGAGTAAATGGGCCGTGTCAATCCTCAATTGAACTTATTAAATTGAATTAATACCATTGGTTACGGCGTTAGACATGAAATATTGGCTTTAGACAATGTCTATATAACACTTGCTTGATAAATGAAAAAAACTTTCAAGTTACGAAATGTAATAACAAATATTATTCATCTATACAGGCGATTGTTCTAACTAATACTGTCACTCAAGATTATTTTAATCCTTCTCAAAACTAACTATTAGGAGATATGAATAAGTAACCTTGAAATTTAGAATTACTTAGTATAAATTAAAGAATTAATTAAAACCAGTTTCATTTGATAAAAAGCTACATGTGCGAATAGCACCTTATCTAATACACTAAAGCGAGTTGTATTTGTATACCTGCATAATAATTAATTGACGACATACAACCAATAGTAATATTATTCGAGGCTAAAATGTACATAATATGTACATATAAATTGCGATTTGTCCTCTTTCACGAAGCAAGTGTATAACTTGATCGGCGTGATTTTTACATACTGATGATAGTTTATGAGTGGAAATTTACATAAGGCTTTCTACTTTGGTACATGAAGTGATTCCTGTGGGATATCAGCAAATAGCAAAGTTGTTTAAGGACGCGTGGGATTTAAAGGCTATACAAGGCTGAAGGAATCGTTATTACAATAAAAAAATATTATAAATATATAATTATAAATCATTAGGTATATTATTAGGAACAACTCGGTCGTGGAAAGTCAAGCAGTGTTCTATAGATAGGTTTATTTTATTTCAGTATGCTACAAATAATATTCGTTTATAATTAATAATTTTGTTTTTACCAAAAAAAAAGTAAAGTATATTTTATACCTTAATATAATCTATACATCTAGACAGATAAATAAAATTGAAGTGTCTGTTTGTATGTCAAAATAACAGCGTTTTACTAAATGTATATGAAATTATATACGGTACTTATAAGAAAAACACATTTTTTAACATTTTTGTCTGTCTGTTTGTTCCGGATAATCTCTGAAACGGCTGTACTGATTTTGACGGGACTTTCATTGGGAGGTAGCTGATGTTATAGGGAGTAACATGGGCTACTTTTATTTTAGAAAAAGAATTAGGGTTTCGCTCAAAAAAAAAACGTACCTAGGGACGAACCCGAGCGAAGCACGGGTGAGTCACTAGTATAGGTATAATATATAGGTTCGACTATTTTTATGTTTATGGATAAATGCACGATAAACATTAGTTATATTTAGTTAGTCACGATCACCGTATATGACATATGTACCTGTAGGTATATGCACCGATTATATTATAGAATAGATTATATTTATATTATGCATAAGTGTGGATAATATTGAAAGTAAATTTTCATTTATTTTAACTTTTTGGTAACGTAAAATCAAGACCAAACCAAATATTAGAAGCTTGTTTAAAATATACCCCTCGTAAAAGCCAAATAGCATCGCTAACTTTGTTTAGGAAATTGAGTTTTGCGACGATCGCTGTGCTACAGCGTCTTTACTTAAAGGCTAAAGCTGCTCATAAGTCATATTATGTCCTCGCTCACCTTTTAATCATATTATTATATTTTTTATTAATATAATAGATATGAAATAGATTGAGTTTTCTTAAAGAGAAACATAACATGCAAAATTTATGATAAGATTAAACATAAACAATTTGTCTTCAGCAGTCAGTTTTCCGAACAAAATGGTTTTTTATTTAATTATTAAAATTTATTTTAACGACTAATCATATTGTATATAAAAAGTAATAAATTTGATCTCATATTATTTCTAATGCGTATGCATTAATAATAAAAAAACAAACATATAATTTCTTAAAGAATCTACAAAAATAAAATCAGGTACATTTTTACTTATATCTTCAAAAAAATGTCGATGGTTAGATATTATTTACTTGGAGTTACGCCAAATGGCGCCAGTTCAATATCTGCAATGCCTTCTTAAAAAATATTTTGAATACCTATAAGAGTATAATACGTTTAATGAGAATGTTAATTTTATAAAGATTGTATTTTATAACATAATAAAATTAATTTTTTTGTTCACAGATGAATACCACGAAAAAAATTAAAAATTGTACGAGTGGATGGTGGGTCGTATTATTGACGGCCACACTAGCAATCGGTGCTTTGGCAGATGTTGGTGTTGGTCTCTACAATGCTAAACTTAAACAAGTTGTCACGTCTAGTACACTTAAATGGGCCAATTTAAAAAAAGAAGCTATGGACAATTATGTTGTCGGAGCAGAATCTGAAAAAGGTGGGAAAACATTAGTATTACTTTTTATCAGGGTTCGAAACGATAATTATCATTGATAATTATCTTTGATAAATATGGGTTGATAATTATCTTTGATAAATATAATTGAAAATATTTAATTGAAACTCTTCAAATTATCGATCAGCTAACTGAACTCTCTCAATCTACAAACTAAGTTAATGCAATTGAGGAGGATGAGGATGATATTTCACTCATTAAGGAGTCTGCCCACTACACCGTCTCATACCATGACCGTGCTATGAACGTATCAGGCACGGAAACAAGCGACACGGGCTACTATGCCTACTAGAATGTATCATTCGCGTATCAACCGCGTATCATCCGTGTGTCATATCCGTATAGTTCCCGTTTTCTCAGTCGTAGTAGTTCACCTGTGTTTTCGCGTGAGGCAGCCGCGTCAGGAAGAGCGAGTAAATATTTTTGTTACGAAAATTATTAGAAACTTGTCTTACAGAAAATTAACAATGATAGCCATTGTTTTAGACGAGGAAGAAAGAGAATAACATCAGCCGATCACGTCGTTCTAGGTTCGTTTAAAAAAATATAATTTAAAAGAAAATATTATCACTAGAAGACAAGCGACAACACGTTTCTAACGGGCTTAGAACAGTCATCATACGCAGTTATAACCCGTGTGCTCACCGTTTCGCTGTACGCGCGCACCGGTTCGGCAACGTCGCGTGCCAAGCACGGAGAGTATCGGCACCGGCAAAATATTCTTGCCGACAATTATTGTTAACTTTCCATGCACGGCACGCGACGGTGTTGGTAGGTGTAGGCATAGTCTCATACTTTTCAATACAAAGAATATTTTTTTGCCTGACATGGTCTTAGCACGGTCATGGTATGAGACGGTATAGTGGGCAGAGACCTTTAATTTAATTAAATAGTGTCTATATAGTTGGTTAAATTTATTCTGTTTTTATTTCATAGTTTGTATATGTCAAAATAATGAAAAAATAATAATAATAAAAGATTACCTTGATTGTTAAAAGTGTATAATTTATTCTAACGTAAATTATTATAGGCAAGTAGTCAAATACCAATACCTACACAAGGATTCCTAAGTTTATATCGGTTTGATAATTATCGGATATTTATCATTATCTGATAATTATTTTGATAATTATCGCGATAATTATCAAAAGATATATTTATCTTGATAATTTCATACCCTGCTTTTTATAAACTTCTATCTTGTTAGAACTCTATAACTAATGTCTCTTTAATATTTTAGGACCCATTTACTTGTGCAAAACGCGACATGAAGGCGATATGCTTTTGGGCCAACTGAGACCTGACTACACTGCTTGCACTGTATCCAGCAGCAAGAGCTACACCGTATTTGAAGTGCTGGAAAATATAGAAAACGCTTCATTGATCATGTGGAATTCTTGGTACAAATTCATTTCCAAACCCAGTGGTGCAGTAGTTGTAGATTCATCTCTTGATTCTGTGTTTATTGGTAGAGTTAAAGCTGAAAAAAGTTTATCACACAATATTGGCCGGATCATATATGAAAGCACAGCTGGTAATTTAATTACCTTTGACGACCAAAGTAACGAACTGGAAGAAAATAAAGGCGAAATTTTGATTGAAGTTGAACCAATGAGTTATAAGTTAGAAAACGTTGAGTTGGACTTGTCCACTCAGCACGAACGCCAGACTGATCCCCAAATATACGAAGAAAGGATCTTAAGAAACGATGACGAGGTTGCCGCTACTGTCACTACTGAGATAGAGTACAAATATAATTACACTTTATCTTGGGGTCACGGTCATGGAATTGCTATTGGCCTAAATACAACCATAGAAATGAGCGACGGAACCGTTTTCCCACAAATAGAATGGGCTAATCCATTCTCAGAAGAAAGAAAGGAATTGTACAAATTGGAAAAATATCTCGAGCCGGGAACCGCTTGCAACGTTACTTTCAGAGGTAACAATACCGACCGTGACGTGCAATATAAGGGAAAATTAGTTACCTTTTACAAAGATAACAACGCGCGATCGAGACAAATGAGAGGTGAGCGGATTGAGAACACCGTTGAAGTGGAAGCAATATACGGCGAGATATACTATACTGTTAACAACACGCTGGTGCCAACGACGACCACTACCACTTCCACAACCACCACTACTACTACAACTACCACCCAAGCACCGATGACGCACCCTCCATCCGTCGAGAAGAACGACGTCGGCATGATAATGGATAGCAACGACATTCTAGGTGATAGCAGTGAAGACATGGTTAAAGCACCTCCTGCAAAGGAAGATATCAATCGCTCTGTTGTCGGAGGTTTGGGCAGCAATCCTAATAAAGCCAATCGCGACGGAATGGTTTTCTTAACACTGCTAATACCAATGTTTGCCCTATTTCTATAAACTATAACAACTCTAGCTTAGCTTCCTTGTAAATAAAAATATATCATTTATATAGTTGCTTGGCGTTACTGAATATGTTATGGCAACTAGGCTTTACGCAGTTGATTGTTTTACGAGATTAAGGAAGCCTTACTCGGCCCACTTTGTAAATAAATAAACTTTATTTGTTTACAAGACATTCCTGTTAAATATTTTCATTCCAATTGTATAAATTGAGGATCCAAGACATCAGAATGTATATAGAATGTGTAAATAGTTAATAATAATGTGGAGGTCGCAGAGCGACAGCGTTTATGTCCTTTCATTACTGACGTTGATTAGGTTTATTCGTTGGCATATAAGTAAAATATAGCACTGTTACCAATCCACAAAAAAGGTTCAATTAATTATTTTTAATAAAAGGCAGCCTAAAATTGTAATGACACAGACAACGCAAAGACAAAATAATTTAAAAAAAAAAAACAGAGAATATGAAAAACCTATTTATATATAATAATTGTAGTTCAATATTTGTAAGTGAAATATAACGATATAAATCCGTTCATGAGTAGGTGATGGCGTGGCGCGGACGCCGGACACATCTAAAGTAATATAGAAATTATTTATTTCTTCCAATCGCTACATACTATGGATTTTCATATGTAAATCAAGAATATATAAATTCGGCTTCAGTACAAAACGGTCCATATGTTAATTAAATGCCTATTTATATCTATTTATTATTTATATTAATTATTTTTAACTTCGTCTTTATACAATATATGTACAACTTTAAAGCGCAACGATGGTATTACGTTAACAACATATCTTTTGGTACCTTTTTTATAGTTTTCTGTATTCTTTTAATTTGTTATTTTTAGTTATAAGTGAGAAGAATTTTTAGCCCAGAATAAAAGATATTACTATTTTTAAAGCTTTTAGTGGTAGATGATATTTAATTTATTTGTTTTAATAATATGCGAAGTAAATGTACACTTAAAACATGTATTATTAAAAAGGTTTTAAATATTATAACTTTGTTATTACCAAAGTTACATTTTCTTTAAAGTCTACCTAATATATTATGTAGTTAGAGTAAAGGATTATGAATTACAGTAGCATCCTGTTAAGAAGGATATCACCGATATGTACACCAATTAGCCGCAAATAGATAGTGATAACTGATAAGTGTTATAAAATGCTTAGCTGTGTTTTTGTAAACATAAACAGAATGAATAATATTTTTGTATGGGCACTCTTTAAGCTGGGCGCGCCATGTTAATACTTGTCCAAAAAAGTATTCGCGCCGACCTTAAACAATCAATGTTAATATATTTATTGATGTAAGCCTCTAAATATAAGATGTCGTTTCATATATTGTAGAATTACTTCATCAATTCGATATTTCACGTAGAGTTAAATAATCATTTTATGGTTTATTATTTATTTGGAAACGTCTAGAATCTCATTTTTAATATTATGTGTAAAAATCAATATCCCACCTAGAATAACGTTATCACATAAGAATTAGAATTAATACAAATTATCCTTCATATCTATCCCTAAATGCATTGATATATCTGATATAACAAGATACCTAATTATAATAATCGCTATAATCTAATGTAGCTATAAGTGCGCTACGCACGTATTAGTAAGTGTTTTCATATTAAATTATTTAATTTTTTTATGTTCGGTGGTTATCTTTTGCATGTCAAATATAAATAAAAAATAAAAAATTAAAAAAATCGTCTACGCAAATTATGTCATTTAACGATTACACTGGCACGCGTGAAGCACTTAATCGAGTAATCATACGCCAAAATGCCTTACATCATTTTTGGAAAAGAACTGGATACTCTTACACGGCTGCACCGATATTAACCAAACATAACTACGAACCACCGCAACGAAACTGGCTTTCTAATAAAAACATTTTTTATCCCATCGAAATCGGTACATCCGTTTGAGAGCTACGATGCCACAGACAGACACACACACACAGACAGACATCGACGTAAAACTTATAACACCCCTCTGCATAGGGAGTTAAAAAATGATTTGAGTTGAATTTATGATGTTAAATATTTGTTGGGTAAGAGTGTACGAATCAATAGATAAGAACGGATTAGACAGCTGACTCAAATTCATATTCATCTGATGACACCGTATTGCTTATAAAATTACAGAAATATGAAATTATCAGTATTGCCAACAGTAAAATAAATCATTTATCAAAGCAAAATCTTGTTATATCATACATATCAATGGATAATAAAGTGAAGGCTTATTATATTATTGCTTGCGAAAAAATGTGAGTGCGTATGACGTGGTATCGCAACAAACTGTATTTTTCCATTTTTTTATAACAAACCCAAGGCCGCGCAGAGGTTAATCTTATTTATATTCATATATACGCCATAGCTAGTAAATCTGTTCGACGAAATTAAAAATTGTCTATGCTTTATAGAAAAGTTGTCATTTATAAAAATTAGAACAATCCTTGAATCTCAACATCAAGATTGTTTGCGAAGCATAATTGTGATGTTCTATGTAAGTTTTGTTTTAATCATTAAAGTATAATTACATAAACGTTTTTTTTATTTCATGGAATCTCTATTATAAAATGTACACTAATATATAAAGTTGCAAGGGTTTGATTGTATTTTGTTTGTTTGTTTGAACGCGCTGATCTATGGAACAACCAATCCGATTTGAATTTCTTTTCCATTTTATTCCTACCTAGAGTTAGGAAGACTGTAGGCTATCGAATATCTAAGATAACGCTACGACCTTTAGGAGTGTAACAATAACACAAATAAATTGGCGGGCGAAAACGCATCTAAACGTTAGTAGGTAATAAAAAATGTGCGTAGATACACATATGCTAATCATCGTCTTTTTATCTATATTCCTCACCATGTTGTTAATGAATTATTAAACACAATGTCTCTCGCAGGTATGTTACATAAATTATAATATTAAACGGAAATTTTTATTTCATCCTCAATAATAAGTAATAACTGATTAATTTATTATGAGCACTTTTTGAAAATAACATTCTCTTACAATATCCTGTCTTCATCTTGTTGTGTCTAAATAAGTTGATCTACTAATTATTTTCTAAATATATTATAAGAATACAGAATACAATTATGGTAATAATTTTATTAGTGAAACAAACTTCGTTATGTAAATTACGACGTAAAAAAATATTAAGTGTCTTTGGTTATGTTGGTTTTTTCGTTAGTTACGATTGGTGCTCAATGTTCTAATTTATAATAAATATGAAAAGGTCAATCATATAACATAGCTTAAAACATTTTCATGAAAAGAAAAAGAGTTTCGATACCTATACTTTTATTTGATACTAGCGACTCACCCTCGCTTCGCTCAGGTTCATCTCTAATGAAAAATAAATCTATCCCACGCGAATCGTGCATTTTCCCGGAATAACGAGTAACCTATGTGCTATTCAGACTATACTCTGTAGTTTGTGCTACTATAATCTTCATTTTATTTACGACATGTCTAATTTTGTATGAGACATTCTGATTCTACTAATCTAAATTCTAAAGTATTGAAATGGACGTATTCAGGGCAGCTTTATTTGAAGCCTAGGATGAAATTATAATATAAATATCTGTATTTATTACTTAAAGCAGAGAATCGACGATCTGACTTTAAAGTAAAAAAATAGCGAAAAAAAATGTCTTTCATTAATTCACTTAATGATTTTTTAAATGGATTGTTTTGATAGCGAAATATAATTTTACTGTAGTATATTTGTTGGTTTGTTCTCTCACGCAGCATCCAAGCAGAAGATCAACGAGATTTATTGCATAGAGATAGTTTATGAGGCACAACTCACAAGGCGCTATTCGCTATCTTTAATTTCAACATCAAGTGATTGATGCTTAAAAAATAAACTAGTGACTTTCTTAATATATTTTTGAAGTGAAAACTTCTATAGGCAGGTTTGGATGGGGAGTAAATTCACGTTATCGACACGGTCACGTGACGTGTTAACGCTAACACTCGGAATGCCGGTAGATGTCAAAACCAAGATACATACTTAATACGAGTACTTATAATATGTAAACAGTTTTAAGATCAAACTGAATATCTAAAAATATAACTGTTTGTTTGTAGTTTTAAGTTTTCACTTCTGTCGGCAGTCCTCATGAATGCTTTTTTTATTTAGAACACTAATTTGCATACATAAATGGTAAAGAAAATCTTATTTAATAAATCATAATAATGTGCAAAGGTAGTCTTATGACTAAAAGCGTCTAAAAATCTCTTACAAGCAACTGATTAATTATAAAGATGGTCACATATAATACATAATAACTATTTCACTACAACATTACAATATGACATAAGAAAATAGCATTTCTATTACTAGCCAGTGCTAAATCTGCGAGCAGTACGCACTATGACGACGAATGAGTGTCCAATTGACCTCTTTAGGCGCCAGCTATTTATTTAAATAGGACATTAAAAATAAAAGACTTGAATTCTTGAAGATATGTAATGTTCAATATATAATAGTTAAAAGCGATTTGATAAAAAGCAGGTCAGACACTGAGTGAGTCTTATTGTTAGTACATTAGTAACTAAATATTGAATGAATTATATTTATACCTGTCGATGAATATTGGTTATTAAAATATATCAATGAAATATGTACATTGCAGTTACCTGCCGTCATAAAATCATGCACAACACGAAATTATCTCACAAATAGCGTAATAAAAACTATGGATTGGCACAAAAATGCATTTTGCGGCGACATTCTGGCGAGTTGGCAATGGAATAAATTAAAAGAATTAATTATATTTCTTAGAAAAAAATTGTTTGTTTGCGAAATTAAATATTAAGTATTTCATTACTTATTAAAACTACTATACCTAACCACGGCAAATTAGGACGGACAATTTATGTAGCAATAAAAATAAAATGGGTACGTCATAAAGCAGTAAGTTATATAAAAATGGGTACTTTTATAAGGAAGC